AGCGTTCAGTCAATATTATGCCCGCAGTTTTTGACCAATCAAATGCCGAGGATCTTGTAATAAGTTCATTTGTATGAAAGCAGAATAATAAGAGAAACAGAATGACGAATTTGAAATAAATCGGACGAATAATAAAAGAGTTATTGTTTGAAATTATGAGATCACTTAAAGTACTATGCGAATCTCAAATTGTCATTCGAATTCAGATACTTTGCATTTAAGTTAGCGCAGATCGGCTTTGTCATGCCAATTATCATTTAATTTTCCCGTTTTGGTATTCATTTTAGAATTTAGGTCCAAGGGTTTCATAGATCTGCCATTTAATTTAGAAATTGCTCAACTAGCATTCAAATTAATCGTCACTTGTCGAGGCGTCATTTTTATCATTCAAATTAACACCTGTTGAGTATATACCTGTCGCTTTTCCTTCGCATATGTATCCATATTTTACAGCACCGTCACAGTTCATGTCGTTCCAAAATGAATCGGCAGCAATACGAATGCAGTCAGAGCCGCCGCTCTTCCCCCCGATTTCAGCCCAATGTTCAAAGGTGGTAGGTGAACCATCCATCCAGTGGAAATTCGTATCCGTCTCTCCTAAGCCGATCCAGTAGTCACCTCCCGCGCCCTCAGCGAGCACCAGGGATCGAACTAGGGCGTCTTCTTCGGATGACGTAATGTCAACCAGATTAGAGCCGAGTTTCTCGCAGTCGATCTTAGCACTGTTACGATTTCTCAAAGTTGTATCAATGTGGTAACAAGTTGATCCCGCTTGCTTAAATCCAGGACGACATTCTGTGGATTAAAAATAGCAAAGCGCGATGGAAACCAATAACGTTTTTGTTTTGTTTTTGTGTTTATGAGTTATACCATAGGCCTATATTGGTCATCATGCAGATCTGCATTCCCAGATAGGGCATATCATTTTACATTGGACCGACGTTGGGGCCAGTATTGTGTCATGATCGAATTTGTAGAAGAACATAAAGTGAGAGAGAAAGGAGGGAGAGATGAAGGGAAAAGGAAAAAGAAAGTGAGATAATAATTATAAGGAGATAGATTGCCCGTAAATGCTCTGCAAAGATTATCCTATTAAACATTAATCAGTAATGTGGGGACAACATGATAAGTATTGAATTAAATAAATTGTTTAAAAAAAAAAAATTGTCCATGAGTAGTAGCTCTATTGCTTTCGTGTGTCCCCAAGTACTGTTCATCATTTATCTCGCCATTGCATCCATCAGTCTGCAGAACGCAGCTATAGTAGCTGGATAACGAATTTAATTTTGTTCCTTGTCTACAGAATCGCCCAATCAATCACTAGATTCGTGAATATCAATATTGATGATGAGTACGACGACAAATAAAAATGATAATACTGGTAGGAGTAGTAACAACTATATTTAACGGTTTTTTTAAACAGGAATAATTTGCAAAAATAAATTATTTTAACAAAAAATCAACTGTAAACTTTACTGTACAGTATGAAAATATACATACCACCATGACAGGTAACCAACGACAATAAGATGACGCAAAGCTATAGACAGAAAGAACAAAATTAAGGTAACAATCATCACGATAACCGGTTTAAGTTTATACTCTTGAACTTTGATAAGTAATCCAAACATACATGTATTATTCATATTTCAGTTTCTTGACGATATAGGCCTATTTAGATAATAATGTTTCAAAACATGTCAATGGACATTTTATTGAAATAACGTCAGAACCACGCCATGCTGCTACGTATACCGGAACATACCGAAAAATTGCGATGTATAATTAGTGAACGTAGTGTAAAATACGGCCTTTATGAATACTGAATTGGCCCTATTATTCTGAATCAAACTAGTAACATACATGTATAAACTCTGCATTTTAACTACTCTAAGTATTATGAACAAAATACACAAAACTTAGATCATCTACCTGTAAAAACATTATTTCTCAAATATGCTATCACTTGACAATTATGAGTGAATCAATAGACCCTAAGGAGTGATGTCGTCTCCCACATTTTAGGGAATTAAAAAAAAAGTAAATACAAGAAAATAACTTCCTTTCCAAATTGAATACTCACTTTGAACTGAGAAATGGGTAGCATTTTGACATGGGAATGACGAGGTATAGGTCTACGTGAGATATACAGCCAGGCACAAAACTATTTGAAAGAGCTTATATACCGATTCACTCTCGAAGACCGCTTTGAGGAGTTGTGGAGAAACGATGGCAGTACAAATTCCTTTTATGTGACCACTATTATTGAGGTAAAAAGACACAAAAACCTAAAGCATAGTAAATAAATAATTGCTGCGCTTTATCGATCAATTTTCACCCAGTGCCCACTGGGAAACAAGAAATATCTTAGACCAAAATCATTTAATGGAAGAGTAACATTTAATCGATTCAAGCTTTGCTTTGGACAACCCCATTTTTATATGTATGATATTTTGTGATCTTTTTAAAAATTCATGTATTTGTGATAATGTACATACATATGGAAAATAAATGAACATCAATCAATAAGAATCAATATGAAACACAACTTACGTGCAAAAACTAAAAGGCCACAATATTGATGAATAGTATATTTTAGGGCAAATAATATATTATTCAGTGGCCGTTGTCATGGAAATGCTCCGCTTCCGCACGCAAAACAATGATGTTCTTTATTTATAGTTTTTACCGATTGTAACCCCTGGTATATTGACTTACAACAAACCAGCCAACAAAATCAGATGAAGAAAAACAGGTTAATAATTGAGACTGTTAGTTTGCACCGTTTGCTTGTTTGAAAATTAAAATCAGGCTTCCTTGATTTCCTCTTGTTTTTTCTTCTCTCTCTTCTTTTGTTTTGCGCACCTCTGATATAGATGCCGCACATGCGTGAATAGGCCCATTGTGCTCTCGTTTCCTAGTAACCGACTTTCGTCTTTCCAATATAATTTTTTTTAAATGGATTAATAAACGTTTTCCCCAAACAGGAGCATAACCATAGACAAATGTAATAATAATCGGTAGCGATGCATTGTATTTCCTAAATAGAATATATATTCTTATTTACTGTAATTGCATGTAATATTATAACCAACACTATGAAAAAGCCAATATCAGCATTGGCTGGAGTTAAACGTATAAGGCGCTATTTCGTTTTGCCAACGACTGGTTCAAAATTGTTGAATATTTGTGTGGCCTCACAAATACTAAATGGTTAAATTTATGGATGTTTCACCCGTCTCTGAACCGATCTTGATCAAACAAAGATGATTTCGTCATTTAAATCGTAAGCTCTTTCAAATTCGACACTAAGTTTTTCATTATCTTACAACAACGAAAAAACGTGTAGCGCCCTCTATACCCAGCCTCAACTATCCCTTTGAGAATATGCTAATTAGGCTATAAAAAAAACATTGCCCAAGGTTGCCAAGACGGCAACCAAGCTGAATTTACCTCTAAACCCATTTAAAACACGAATCAACAAAAAAACAACAACCTGGTAATAGATAATAAATCGCTTAAATCATCGGAAACCGATGTGCAGTTCTGGTTAATAATTGTAAATTGTTGTTCCGTGTACTGTGTTTTATTTTTGAAAAACATGTTGATATTACCAAATAGGTTTTGTTTGGATTTTTTGTGATTTAAAATCCCGTTTTCCCCAATTTCCTCATAATATTCCAGAATTACAACGCACAGGGCTTATTAAGATCATGGCCTTCTAATTGTTTTATAAGGTCATTGGTGCGTGCAAAAGTGTGCAAATCTGTAATAATAAATTTCATATCACCAAAATCGTCTGCTTTTCAACTTTGCTGCTCCCCATTGGGGATGTTTTTCATTGAAGACATACTGTTACAGAGCACACCATCCAAACAAAACCCAAGAGAGGGAAACTGCTCCTTTGTCAATGCCCGAAAATGTTTACGCAGTCGTTATTGTTAAAACAACTGAATGTTCTCATTAAGATGCACATAATCAGAAGGCGGTGACTATCATAGGATCAAAGAAAGAATCACGTTGAATGTCCATCCGTAAAAGGTCCATGATTTTAGGGATGGTGTAGAATGCTAGACATCAAAGTGCAATTGTACAGATTTGGTAGGCCCCTCCCCCATCAAAAACTGTCATGAATCTTGTATGTTTATTTATCTTCCCGCTAGAGAAATGAAAAACATAGTTATGTATAACTTACAGAATTAAAAAAAAAATATATATATATTATATAGAAGAAATACACAACATGAACGGAATGATTGCTCTTCTCAAAGCATGTCAAAAGAAAAGAAAATGAGAAACATATTCAAAAGATGTAATAATCAAGATAACAATTATTGGTTATTAGTCAATAAGCGCAATATAGGTCCTAATAGATATAAGCCCTATGGTAAAATGATCTCCCCATAGTTATGTAAATAGAATAACCATTGATGTCAGTACACCACCACCACCTGGACCATCCCCACCAATGCCACCACCACCACCACCACTACTACTAACACCACCACCAACACCACCAGTCCACCACCACCAACACCACCACCGCGTCACCACCAAAATCAACACCACCGTCACTACCAACACCAACACCGCAACCACAACCACGACCACCACTACTACAAACACCACCACCAGTCTACCACCACCACCGTCACCACCAAAATTTACACCACCGTCACTACCAACACCACAACCACCATCACCACTACGTACCATCATCTCCACCACCACCTCCACCATGCATCACCTCCATGCACCACCACCGTCACCGTCTCCACCACCCACCACCTCCACCACCACCACCACCAAACCCCCCATCATCACCACCTCCACCACCACCTCCACCATCACCACACCACCAAATATCAATATCCCCCACTCTCCACCACCACCACCACCACCACCACCTGTTGCTCTTTTCCCATGTCCGCGACCCCCCCCCCCCCCCCCCCCCCCCCCCCCCAACAGATTGGTTCCCCCAAGCCCTCTGAGTCAGACATGCATGAGTAACGTTACCAATAGCAGTAAAGTACGACGGCGATTTCACCCCTCTGTGCACGGGGAACGCACGGCAAGAAAAGTCTCGAGAAAGCCGAGGTACGCCAAATTGTTTGTCATGTAAGATTGTAAGTACACCTGTCATTTGTTGCACTTTAGAGAAGTAGGAAAACCATACCATACATATGTTAAGCTATAGTAGTCTATGTTCATAACTTTGTCAGTGTGATGAGCTTTTTTTTCTGTGATCAAAAGTTCAAAATCTATTTCGAAAGTGTTTTGAAGAATGTGATAGTACCGGTACGTATTTAGTAACCGTCCCATAGCTGTGCTGTGAACAGGTCCAATCTACCCCGGCATCGGCCCGCCTGCAGCCGGTGTTGGTTCGACTCCAAATAGAGTTACAGTACTACAACGACGAGTATTATAGCACATTCAAGCTGTGTGCATGTAACATTCAGTGGCAACATAAATTTCAATTGAAAACTTGATCAATAGGAGCATTTTATCATATGTGCTATGTGCTAGTATCAGGTATGAGATAAATTATTTGTTTTTATTTCATCTTTTAATTGTTAATCACAAATTGGTGTGAAGTGATGTTTATTCTATTGTTATCATTTATATCATTATTGTTATTGTTATTATGATTATTATTATTTTTATCATATTTTGTTTTCTTATTTAGATTCTTCTTATTCGTCTTTCTTATTATCATTATGACATTGACATTATTTTTCTATTTTTATTTTCATTTAATCATTATTACTATTTGGCATACTATTATTAGACCTGTACATGTACTTGTGCATGTATTTACCTATGAGTTTCCCATTAGTGTGATCATGTTAAAAAACCTAAAATAGTTCCAAAACAAGATAACCATTGTAATTTTAATCAGATTGATGATTTTCATCAAGAGACCAATCTGAATCATTCATCACCATCCCCAAAACATGAATCAATTTTAAACCGAGGTATGCTACGCCAGAGTCAGTTATTAGGCAAATTAAGACAGAGAGCTGACTTACCAATTCAATTTAATAATGGTTAATTAATGACTTTATGCAATCTGTTATGTCTGGTATCACATAATTTCACATGAGTATAAAAGTATAAAAGCAACCAAAGCTAGAACTTTTATGTTTACATATAATGTCAAATTGGCATAATATATATCATTTACAAAAAGATAAGAACATGTTAAAAACAAACATACATTATAAATATAATGTACATGTACATACAAGGGAGATTAACAAATTGCATTCCCAGAATCCCAGGTCATTTGGTAATTTGCATAGTGGTCTACTTTAGGATTATAAATTTCAATTGCACTAGTTTAAACTAAAAAATTGAAATACCGTAGACTGAAAATTGACATGTGAAATACATGTATGAACATAGGAAGAAGACTATTTTTCATCGTGATAACTTTTTCAACCAGGAGATCAAATAAGATTCCTTCAAATATTCATTCCTTCCAGAAAACACTTATGGAAATCTTTGCCACCATCCATAGTTAAAAAGCAAGATCCTGATTTATTCAAGGCTCATTTGCATTTTGCAATGTTCAGCATTATTTATTAGTATTTATTATCATGCCCACACCCTGTACACCTTGCTTTACTCTATCAGGAGTGTTGAGTTGTATTACTTTAGATTCAGATTCAGACTTCTTTTGACTACATGAAAATAAATTTCCTCTATTTTGATGGACGGTGAAAAAAAGGATGCAAAGGGTGTTTGAAAACCTGTCCAACCAACCCGGTTTTCCTGTCTGAGAGTGTACGATTGACCTTACTCTAGTCTATGTGAAATTCAATTTATTGGTGAGCTTGAAATAGGTAAATTAATATCTGATAAACATGTTGATGTTCTATCTGTTGCACAGCAGCCCTCAAATCTGCATCACAATACTAATTCCCCTTTTCATGAAAAAATTGGTCATTTAATTTAAATTGTGCTTCATTTATTCATTTAAGCAATTTCTTATCATTACTTTTTATTATAGGGGTGAGGTTATTTTGCTTTCCACATCACTTGATGTCTGCGCTTTTGTTTAAAAGCTGCCCCCCCCCCCCTCCCCGAAAACGTTACATGTTCATCCAAATAACGTCCAATACAGGTCATATCTCAGGCTCAACTGACAAATTGACTTCATATCTACTAAAAACTGACTGATTCTTAGCTATTTGAGATAATGAGCAGGGTGTAATATTCTCCTCGCTTCATTGTTGTTCTGGTGACCAATTATTGTGTCTGTATCAGTACGGTATGTATTGTCATACAATTTCAATCTCATTTTAAACCCAGGCCATCCATCATGAACTGACATCAAGCGATACATATAACCAACAGATAGCCAGCCAGCCTGCCTGCCATGCTGCACTGCAACACACCCCAGTAAAACATTCTCCATCACCATGGCAACAATATGGCTTTGTTAGACCAGTTGCCTAGCAACGAGAGGTAATCGCCAGGTAACTAATGCCCTATACCCACTTGTTCCTTGGTCTCCATTTGTAACTGCGTAGGTAAACAACCTGTTGCTCGATGTGTGTACTTGGGTGCTAATGTATACACAGTGAACACAGGTGTATCTGTGTTCTTTATCAGTGTGCCCTTGTCCACTTAAGAGATGTGTAAGATTTCCAATGTGTGAAGTTGTGAACTAATTTTATGTTTTTTTGTCTCTTTTTTTCTCTTTTTTCCTTCTTCTTGGGAATGCTGTTTTTATAACATTATTTTACTTGAACATTAAAAAAAAGTGGTTAAAGAACCATAAAATCAATTTTTATCATTTATCTGACTATAGTATGTAATGTGCATGTGCTGTAAAATGTGTTGGTTACATCACTTTATTATTTGTCAAAACTCATTGGAAATCCCCTCCCCCTCTTTTTTCAAGCTTCCCTTTAATAAATTGCATGTATAAAATTAATATTCAATGTATTTATGCAATATGTTGGTTTAGAAAGTATTTCATTCAACAAATATTCTTGCAATAAAGGTTTCAACTTCATTGTGATATATATATCTGTGAAATAGAAATTCTAGTATTTGTTAGGCTTATATATGATATAATTCTGATTCAGGTGTTATATGGTTTTTAGGGTTGTCCGGTTTGTTTATTTATCCATCTCCATTGTAATAAACGCAAAAAATCAGCCCCTAATGGTGCTATAAAACTTGAACTTGAGTAACAGGTTTATTTACATTTTTATTCCAAGGGTTATGGATAATTATCCTCTATCTGGACAAATGACTGCAATTATAGAGCATGGGTCAAAAGTCTTGTGTTTATCAATTTGCAAATTGTTTGTCATAACCATCTAGCAGAGATAGCCATAGTGACCTATACAGAAAAAAAAAACTATATAATTTTATCAAGTATGAAGTCTTTGCCACGACAAAGAACAAGGTTTGATTTTACATACAGCGTACATGTGTGTGGTCACTTACATATTCTTGACCCTCAAAAAGGCAAAGGATTTCATCTGTAAATATTGCATCCTCAAATATATAAAGCTGTTCTACGGGTAAATTTCATGCTCTGTCAAGTACTCAATAATTGTTTAACAAACATTGTAGATTATATCTCTATTTCCCCAAAATGTGGTGATTGTTTTTTTTAAATAAATAAACTAGACTACAATCCATTGTTATGTTAATGACTTCTGATCAAAGTTATGATTTTGTTTTTCTTCTCCATGACAGTTCTGGTGGGAAGGCATGGGTTGTTGCATCTCCAGATCAAATGCCACTTCTCCAATTCCATCAAAGAGCAGCGCCAGAGAGAACGTGGTGAACCCGGAGAAGATATCACCAGCAGATGGTGAGGAGACACTCTTGAACACTGACAAGAGATTCAGCGAATCAGTGAACAACAGATCAGCAAGCCCGAAGGCCATCAAGAGAAGCAGCCAGTCAGCAAATGTTACATCTGCAAGCCCGAAGACAACGCAGAGAAGCTGCCAGTTAGAAAACATCACACAAACAAGCACTAAGATGGCAACAGAAAGTGCAGTTCAACCTGAGATCCTTGGACGGCTTCCAGAGCTGGAGAGAACCAAGGAAGGACACCTAGTACCCCAGGAGGTTCCTAGATGCGATGTTGGGGAGGACTTTGTATCAGTTCATGAGATGTACAACTCCTTGAATGATGGTCAGAGAGCTCCATACCTACATGATCCATATTACATGCTTATTCTTGACGTTAGGGACAGAGCCGATTACAATGCTTCCCATGTTACCACTGCTCGACACAGCACTGCTGTTGATACAGAGCATGATTGTCTTGTGAGTCAGGGGAAGCTTGATAAGTTCACAATGGTTGTAGTGTACGACCAAGGCAGTACATCTCAGACGGTTGATCCAACACTGTCCAGCTTCGTCCAGAGATTGAAAGACGCCAATGTGGACGTTCTGATCCTGAGCGGTGGCTACGACACTTTTCACAAGACCTATCCGTTCTTGTGCAACAGTTTAACCATTCGGTCAGAGCAAGACCGTATGCTGCACTTCAAGTCGTACCCTTCCGTGGTCCTAGAGGATACTCTCTATCAGGGCAACGTGAAGCACTCCAAGAACGAGACAGTCCTCAAGAACTTGAAGATCACTCATATCCTCAACGTGTCTACAGAATGTGCGAATGCCTTCCCAAAGAGCTTTGAGTATCTTCAAGTTAAAGTGGAAGACGAGTCTACAGAGCATATTGGTCCCCATCTGGAGAGAGCAGCTAAGTTTGTAGCAAGTGCCATCAATTCTGGTGGTAGGGTCTTTGTACATTGTGTCCAGGGTAAGAGTCGTAGCTCAACGTGCACCATCGCATTCCTAATGTCATATAGAGGTTGGACGTTGAAAGACGCTCATGAATATTTAAAGGATCGTCGATCAATCGCTGCTCCCAACAGAGGTTTTCTTATCCAGCTCTCTAAATTTGAACAACTGACCTTCGGAAAAGTTATCTCCTCTGTGGATGATTTATATTTTTAACTTTGATCTTCAAGAATCAATATCCTCTTGGAAAACTATCCATTTAAGGAAAATCACCCCCTGAGAACTACACACAACTCCTGGAAAACTACATGAACCTCCTGGACACCTACATACCTGTAATTTCCCCTTGCGATTCCCCTGTCAAAACTACCCCCAAATACCCTCAGACAGCCACAAGAGATACAATGTGCTTGTAGTATTCTTCAGGGGATAATTATTCTAGAGTGTATAATTTTTTTTCAGGGGGGGGGGGGTATCCCAAGGGAAGATGATTGAGGTTGGTTTTCCTAGACTCTTCTTTTGAGAAAAACCATGTAAGACCAACTTTAATAATTCTACCATTCTTTTCTAGTACAGTAAAGTCTTTTTTTCTGGGTTGGGGGGGGGGGGGGGAGGGGGGTCCTAAGGGTAGATGCCCTTGATTGGTTTTCCTAGCCTCTACTTGTGAGAAAAAACATGTAAGTCCAACTTTAATAATTTGACCATTCTTTCTTGTACATTAGTATCCAAGTTGAAATACCAGTGTCTTTTACTAAATCTTGTACCATATAAAAAAGAAAAATGAGAGAAAGTTAAGAATTTATGTAGTGTTTGGAAGATAGGATTCTTATAAACTGAAATGTATTAATATCTTCTATATTACATCTACATTTTACTATGTGTACATTCACCCACACAATTTTTTAAGATCTTTGTTCTTACCGAGGGTCTTTTAATTTTTTTGTCATCTTTGAACTGAAAAAAGGTAAAAACATGTGTGAGAGGAAAAAATTCAGTAATTTCTTCTTGACTGTTTTGGCTATTTCATTTGCTCCAATCAAAATAATTTATCGGAGCCCAATTTACATTTAGGAAGGGTTCTCCCGTATTTGTACATGCTATGTACATGACTGTTGTATAATATTTATTGAAGCTGGTCGCACAACTCTTCTCTGTTTGCATTGAACATTTCCATCTTACTAACCCAAAATTATTAATAACACACACATTAATTGTGGTCCGGATATTTGGAATAATTTTCCCGACAACATCAAATCTGGTTCAATCCTCTATTCCTTGAAAGCTACCGGTACACTTAAACAAAATATATTACAAGCATATGTGCCAAACGCTCTAAATTAGTAAAATAGCTTTGTCTGGAACCATGATTTATTATTCCTTTTACTCAACTACCATCTGCTGCACCCACATCTGCAATTGCACTTCACCAGTTGATCACTATAGGTTTTACCACGAGAGCTTTGTGGCTAAATCTTTTTTTTTTCTTCATGAGGCCGCCATCCATTTCCAGCCTAACCGCTCACGATGGCTGTCTCCTGCACTGAAAATTTATCTCTTTAGTTTAATGAAAGCAGGTTAACTGCAGATTGCCAGTAATTATATTCTGACTATATATTTAAGGGAAATATTAATAACTATGTATTTAGTTTTCCAGTTCTAATAGTACTACTTGACTACTAGTTCTTTGACCGTGAAAAATATAAACATATATCCGTTATTCTTGTTTTGTGTGCTTTGTTTTATGGTTATTGTATAATATTATTGGACATGATTTGCTATTTATGTAATACTTCTGTAAAAATGTATAACGTTGTATTTGTTATTAGAATGCTGAAATAAAAGCAATCAATCAATCAAATCAAACATGTTCATGTAAATATACCTACTATTTGAAGTGACAATCTCAATATATCAAGATTTATATGTACATATAAGTATTTGAACTAATCACTTTTTATGATATATAGTTTGGAGTATTTATTTCTTAGTAATATGAATTTGTTTTTAAAAATCAGCTCATGTGGCATGCCTTTATTCTGTTTTGATAGTATTACTTAATTATTGTGCTTTTTAACATAAAATTTATGGTAGCTTTTGAAAACTGCTAAGTTTTGACTTCCATTATCAATACTAAATATTATTAATAATCGTAAATTAAAGTATGAAGTTGTGTTCAATTGTAAATTTTAATTTGTTGATTTTAGGTGTACGCCTTACTTTTGTATATCCAGTGCAAAGTCGATGTACTTTCTATTTCCTGAGGAGAAAAAAAAAGTTTATTTTCATGTACACCAATTTTATTACAAATCCTGTCTTTCATATATTAATTATTCTGAAGAAAAAGGGGACATTCCTATCTTTTTCTTTTTCTCTAATTGAAGATGAGATTGAATCTATCTAAAATCAGTATTTCCTTCAAGTGTTCTTCAGTAATGATGAATGTTTTTTCTAACTTACCAGTATTAAACTGGTATGGAAGCAGTTGTAATTATGAGTATGTCATGTAAACAAGAAATCATATACATCTATGAACAGCAGGATCAACTGCCTACACAAGTACCTTCTCTATAATCCTACAATGAGTGATATGTGCAAATCAATATTTGAAATAAATTAGTATTAAAATTCCTTTTAATCAGTGATATAAGTTTCAGCTGTTGTTTTATATCTCAGTTCACTATTCTGCAGTTTATGATGAATTTAAAGAAGAAATTGTCAACGTTGGGTCAAGTCAAGGTTTCACAGACATCTATCTTGTTCACACATAGTGTGTGAATCACATAAATTCTGTGACAAAGTAAAATGACATGATTCTAGTGACTTTACATTTCTTTTTCTTAAAACAGACATATATTAAGCGACTATGCTCAGGAAGCCCTTCTTGCGCCCTGGTACTTTATCACCCCTCTTGCTATTTATTTGCGTATGAAATGGTTTTATTTTGAGGTGGTTTCAATGCACTAAGTGTGAATGAGGCTATAGAAGTGAAATGCCAATAGAAACAAAAAATTGCAAAGCTCCCCAACACTACAGATTTGTTAAAGGAGGGGGTATGAATGTGAAAAGATAGAGAGAGAGAGAGAGAGAGAGAGAGAGAGAGAGGGGGGGGGGGGGACAGAAGAGAATGAGAAGAAAGAGGGGAGACAGAGAGAAAAAGAGGGGTTAAAAGGGAACTTGAAAAAATGGTACAATAAATGTTTCAATTAGGTATATATTTAATATTTTCACCTACATGTAGATCCAGACACTTAGCGATGCTGTGGTTTATCTTCAACTGCAATTACCAATACTTGGTCTTTGTCCTTCTTTCACATTTCCTATCCTGCTCTTTTCACTTCACTCGTCCACTCTCATCCCTATTACCTCACTCTTCTAATATCTTATTCTTCCACCCATCCTCATATTTTCCCTAATATCTCACTCTCCACTATTACACTCTTTCAATACACTTTCCACTTTACTTTCCATCATACATTCCACTCTCCCACTCTACTATCTCACTATTTCTATCTACTTTTCCACTTCCTTTCTTACTATCTATCTGTTCTAATATACCACTCTTCCACTATCTTTCTTACTACCATTCTACTATCTCACTCTTCCACTATTTTTTATCACTATCTCAGGATTCACAAAGACATCTCACCAGTTTCTATCAAAATATTATCTTGTTTCATAAAGGCTTGTTCACATAATCTGTGCAGACTGTGGTAAAACATGTTTTGTTGTATTAACATGCAAGTTGCGCACAACAAAGGCACCATGCATAACCACTCAGTGACTCGGGCGGATCCAGCCAGCGGCAGGGGAGGGGGCCCAATTCGTGAGAGAATATTTAGCGGCGAAACAGCCGGCCAATAATTCGCTCAGTAGGGGGGGGGGGGGCCCTCAAAAATTTGAAAAATTGCACCCCCCTTGGATACGCCACTGTAACCACTGATCAGTGTGCTATAAGATACAAAATATAACGCACAGTATGCTTTAGAATTAAAAACTACCATAGGCCATGTGAACAAGCTTTATCGTCCTCCAAAATCCACAGAGAGTAAATAATTTACACATCAGTAAAAGAAAAGCTGTGAAAGTACAAAGAAATTCTCTTTTCAATTATCATTTACTCATTCAAAATATAAACAAAATATACATATATTCACAGCTGTACAGAGAGAGAGAGAGAGAGAGAGAGAGAGAGAGAAAGTGGGAGAGATTGATTTTCAAATCATCAAAAACACATTGAATGTGAACCCTAATCAGTATTCCTTCTGTAGTGATGTGATACTTTTCTTTCATTTTTTGTTTAGTCTTTCTTCATATTTAAAATTATGAGAAATTTGATACACATCATACATCCATCAATGTCATAGAAACTGAAACATCTTCAATGTACTGCTAGGCATTCGACAATGAAATAAATGTAGTGAAACAAAATATAATTGAATAACAATGAAATGATCATTGTGAAATGTAAGGAAGGCATAGCATACCCCACTCCCAAACTGAATGAATAGATAATGACAATATCATTGACATGAGAATACACATTAAAGATCTCCTACATGTAAAGGAGAGGCTTATAATTATAGAAATAGATGATGTCAAGTTCATAAAACATATATGTACAAATTGTTTATTTTAATTTATTTTCTTATTTTCTTATTACAAGAGAATGCTGAAATATCATATAACTTATCCGATCCCTCTGAGTATTTTCCAATCGTCTTTCCAGTAGGAATATAAGTTATCCAAGGCAAATCGAATATTTAGATATAAATTACACCTTCAAAAGTCAATTGAATCATGAACTACTGAGTAGACACGGTTGTAAAAGCTATAAAAGGGCTCTCGGGCGTACAGAAAAGTTTGGTCTGAAAAGCATTTCATAAACAATGTAAATTTTCAAAGAGCTTTCTTTTCTATTGGCAATTGCAATATCTTAATTCTAGTAGAAACAGGAAATACATGTTGTACCAAAATATACTTTGATATACAGGGAAGTGGCATTATGCATTCCTTAACTTTTACATTTCATTGGTTGAACTGAATACCAATGTAGCATTGGTGTCTCCCTAGTAGTACGAGCTTGAAGATTATTAAATCCAAGTCGAGTAAACCGAAAAATTGAGTGGTGCTTGCTGCGTTGGAATGAACGAAGATGAAGTGTTGACTCTATTCAGACATGCTTGTCGAAGGCGGTCCCCTTGGATGATAGTAAGATATAACGTTGTTATGGAATCTCTGTTCATAGGTATTTAGTTCATTCTTGAGTGGGGGATCTCTAAGGCTCTTCGACAGTGAAACCTTCATTTATTGTTGGCTTATTCGGGTTGTTCACCAGCAGCCAGTCAGATAACCACATCTGAAAACAAACAAAATTTAAAAATTGTAATTATTTTGCTAATAACATTCAAAATGAACAAATGTATAGGAGTATCAATGACAAAGCATTGTTTTTAAGAGCACATACCTGTATCTGCATCAGGATGAGACTACCCTTGAGCTATCACCCCCCCCCCCCCCCCCCCCGACAAATGCCCTCTAGGACAACTGGTATACTGTATGAGTAGAATTTATTTCATTTGCCACCCTCAACCCCACCATCCCAAACCATGGAATCTCAAAGACAATCATGTTTGAAAGAATAATAACATGTCATTTACACAAGTGTGTACATAAAATCAATTTTGAATGCTCTCTTTTCATTGGAGATTCCGCATTTACAGACGTTAAAATCTTGATTTAAAAAAAAAATACCTTATGATTTTCTAGTGAATATAATGACAAGCTTAACAATAAAGATGAATAAATCCACTGCAAGTTGATTTCATTAGAAAGACTGGTTTGTATGATGACATATAATTTGGCAGGCATATCAAAAGATATGATGATGGAAACACAGAACAAAATTATACCTGAAAAAATGATAAGAAGAAATAATGAATCTGTAAAATTTAATGTTGTACTTTGTCAAAATGGTCTTCAGTAAATGAAGTTATTGAGAGAGAGAATCAAAGTTTCATGAGCTATAGACAGAATGGTAGCCAAACACACTTACCACTGGGTCTTTAGGCTTCTGTTTGCAGAGCTCTGTGAGTCCCTTGAGGAGAGTTGGGTTCACCACCTTGGCAAGGTAGTCCTTGGCTACTTGACCAACAGGAATAGGTTCAATCACACCTTGAAAAAAAAAAAAAAACAGAAATTATTTTATTTATTTCATTTCATTTATTTATTTCACTCTCTTTTAAAAAACATCAAAAGTATATACATGTTTGTTCATTATCAACATACTTAAGGTAAAAGGAAGTGAGGAATCATGAAAGCCAGAATTGGCTTGATGAGAATGATCCCCAAATAAATACTTAGCATAAACAAGATACAAACTTATTTTATATAAAAAAAAACATAGTACAAACATTCACAACAACAGAGGACAGAGGAAAGATAAAGATAACATAAGGTAAAGACAGTTACAGGGAGATAAGAAGAGAGAGAAGATAAGAAGAAGGAAGTTACAACTTCATCTATTAAGCTCCACAAAGTATCAAAGTTAATACATATGGGTCCGTCCAGAAAGTTGTGGCAATTTTTGTGACATACCAAAAGTGAAAAAACATGTCTCCTATCAACTGTAACAATGTTTGCTCAAAATGAGTTTTGCATAGAAAGCATAGTCAAGTGTCTTCGGAAGTACTCGAGCTTTATGTTAAATCAATATTATGGATCCAAAGTTTATGTAATGTTATATGAATATGGTGTCCATGTAATGCTGGTAAAAAGAGAAATGTGTACTAAGCAAAGATTTTGAAGAAAAGCAACTGAAACCGGAATGATTCTGGCAGGGCATACTATATTTATTCATTATATAAAAATCTTCACGAATAATTTCATCTTCCATGTGTAGTATATAGAAGATCTCATACCTGCGTTACATGGACACCATCATATTTTTTGCCTCAACTTTATGGAATGACCTATATTACAACTGTTCACACAGCGCAGTAGATGATATTAAAAATTGAACCACGATCACAATCTCATGTCTGTGTAGGTTAACAAAGAAAATCTTACTATTCTACCATGAACCTAAAATTCCATGAACTATAAACAATATTAAAATTTAAAAAAAATAAAATATTAAGGCTATTCACAAACAGAGTACTGTAATAATTCAAGAATTGGACCTACATGTATATCCTATCAACTTACTGTCTGGGAACATGAATCTGATTTCTCTCTCTGAATTATGATAGCCATCACTCCCATGTACAGCATTCTGTTGATCATCAATACCATACATAGCGCGGATGCTGAAACAAACAAATATTAAAAAGCCATGAGTAAGTTTATATATCTATATACTCTTATTCAAGATAATGGAACAAGACTTTACTCATTAGCAGGGGTATAAGAATAAAACAAAGTGTAAGTACTGAGTGTGCTATAGACTGCAATGAAGTATATACAAAGACTACTCAAGGAAAAGAAGAAGAAAAAGCATTGGTTATAATGTGTCTTTTTGGACCATATCGTCCTTGTTTTCACGAAGTGACGGTAGTGAGGAAAATCGTAACGCAAAGTGAATGCAATTTTTTTTCACTACCGTCACTTCGTGAAAACAGCGACGATATGGGCCTAGATCTAGACTAACATGTACCCGGACTTTTTTCATTTTTTTTTCATTTTATAGAAAAGATTGAAATGAATCTTGGCAAGTAGAGAATGTGCGATAATCTTGTTGTAACTCATATATTTTAAGCTAGGTAGAAAGAAATATTAGTCTGCTAAAAATATAAGGAATTAAAAAAAATAAGTAGGCCTACCTGTCTGGGTGTGTTTCTCTGGCTTTCATGCTGTTGGTTGGGCCACACAGCTCTCTCCAGTATCCAATTGCATTCTCCCTTGCTAAGACCATGGCAATGATAGGGCCGCTACTCATGTAAGCAACCAGACTTGGGAAGAACATCTTGCCAAAGTGTTCTGCATAGAAATCACTCATCTGTTCTGGTGTGAGGTGGACTCTGCGTTTCTGCAAAGGTGAGTTAAGATTATACTGTAATTGATAATTCGCTTCTAATCTAGAGGTCTAGATCTATTATTATTAATAATAAAAAACAAAATAAAAACAAAACTAATAATAGCCGGATAATACTACGCTCCAAAATACTACTCCAATCTACAAATACAGAGCAATTAATTACCAGCGTTTACGGCGCTAGTTCGTGTTTAAGTTAGTGACCGTTTTTATGAATTGCTTGCCTTAGCCTAGATCTAGACTAGACTCTAATACTAAATAAATATCTTAATACACACGCGCGCATGCCCGTCGGTACCGTATGCAATTGTATTGTGCAGCAGTTTGCTTTGAATCCCGTGAGAAAGTGAATATTATAAGTCTTTGTTTTTAGGAAAAATAGTCTACTCCAAAAAAGATTTAAAAATTGACACGAGGCTCAGCGACTTTTAAATCATGACCATTATTTGAACAATTGATGAAGATTTAGTCGATTTTCGGCATGTTTTAGGAGGGTATCTCCACGCTGGAGTTCCGGGTCAAAGTCTAGATAGACTTCTGAACTAGCGTCGCGATTACATGCAAGTTAGAGGCATTTTCAAATTCAATCATGAATCAACAACAATGTCATCTGTAACAGGACTCCGTATGCAGTATATGGGACTGTGGACAACTTACCTGCAATATTGTAAATCCTGACTGCAGTATAATTTCCTCGATTTCATCCGCTCTGTCGATTGCATCTGGTTTTATAAGAGCAAGAGTCCTTTCCACATAAACCTGAGGAGGCTCCATCATTCTGTTTTCTACGTCGTTTTGAGGCATTTTGATAAATTTTAAAGAAATATTTGCTCACGAAATCCGTTTGACAGCTGCTTCTGTTGCCAAGTAACAATAACTCCGCCCTCTGCGTTCAGCGCGCGATGTCGCCACGGCCACTCGTACTCGACTAGCATGACTAGCATACGTATTTTCGGTTCGGTTCGGAGGTGTAAGGGGGCTTCTAAAAAAAAAGGGACAGCTGGTTCTTATAAGAAGGAACGGGAGCATTTATTAGAAAGGAAAAGGGGCACGTGTCAAAATAAAATGGGCAGTCATTAGAGGTGAAAAGGGACACTCATCAGAGATGAAAAGAGCAAGCTTATCAGGATTGAGGGAAAGGGGCATTTGTCAAAGTAAAACGAGTATCCTCTCAGATTTGAATAGGGGCAATTAGCGGGGATGAAGGGGGCACTCATCTGAAGTGAAAAGGAGTAACTTCTCGTACCTGAAAACTTAAATGGTTAATTTACTAGAGATGAAAAGGGGCATTTATGAAAAGGGGAAGGGGATCTTTTTCAATAGGGGCACTTATTATTAGGAAAAGGGGCACATGTGAAACTTTAAGGTGCGCTTATCCGAATTAAAAGGTTGCTAGGTATTAATAGGGGAAGGAACACTTCTTACAAATGAAAAGGAACACGTGTCGTACCTGGAAAGGGGCACTTACTATAGATTAAAAAGGGCACTTATGAGACAGGAAAAAGGACACTTATTGCAAATGAAAATGAGAACTTGTCGAAGGAAAAAGGGCAAGTGTCAAAATAAAAGGGGCACTAATCAGAGGTTAAAGAGGGAAGAGATTATTTTACATATCAATAAGGGCACTTGTCACGGTAAAATGGGCACTTTCCTATCTAAAAAGGGGCACTTCTTACAAAGTTTAAGGGGCACTTTAAGGCTACTTGAAAAGTGGGGGGGGGGGCACAGGGCCGCCTCTGGAGCGGGAAAAACAATATTTCGCTCTTAAATAGGAGAGCCCATCATCCTTAGCGAACTAACTCGCTATTACAGATTTCGCTACTATAATAGTTATTAGTAAGAGTTTGTCGCAACAAATTTCTGCTCTTATAATTATGTAAGAGCACAAAATCGCTATGTTAGCGAGAGAGTAAAGTCCCCTCTGGATCACTATTAATGTTGATAAGGCTTCCCTGGGTTAGTACCAAATATCTTCTTTTTTTTTAGGTGCATCCAATCTATTGCCAATTCATTCCAAAATGTTTTGGCATTAAGATTTATTGATTCAATTTTAATTGGCATTTCTGTTAGGTAAACAAAACTATACAAAAAACTGTGTGTGAAGATTTAATAGTGAGGCGACTTCTTCCTGAAAAAAACGCTAGGATATTGTTTGACGCGTCACACGGCCTCTTTCCAGTATCGTTCGTTCAAAGGAAGATGGGGGTCGGGGGGGGGGGGGTCGTTCGGGTGGTCGGGTATTGAACTTCAGTTTGAGTCACTTGTCATTAACTATTGACCAATTCGGGCGTTTACAATGGGCTTTGGTGATTTCATCGGCACATCTATTACCATCATCTTTCTGAAACTTTGTCGGTAAATTCGCTTGGTCTGTCCCAATGATGAGTTATTATTAGGCTCCCTAATCTTATAACTTTGTCTTGCATAATTAAATCTCAAGTTTATTTAGAGATTGATTATCATCCTATCAATATATATCGTCAGGTAGAATGACGAATTCAAAGACAGAGAATATTAATCGTTCCGTCACATTCTTGTAAACTCTTTCACATTACGTAATAGATATGTTAAATTCGATCACAGACCAGAATGAAGATCCTTGATTCGAGCCAATATTTGAGATAAAAAGTAAAACAAAAATGCAATTGAAATATATAATCATATCAAATCGTTTCTTTATTTACAGTAACATTCGCAATCAAATTTCACATTTATGGTAATTTTAATACTGTCAGGCATACATGGATGAAAACATTAATACATCGCTTTACACCAAATAAATGAATTATTCGCAATCAGACTATTATACCCTCTCTTGCATCAAAAGGCTATATTGATACAATGAACATGCTTGATACTACTGAAAAAGCTATCAAATCGTTGTCATAATACGAGTATAATCAATTTCATAATCTCTTAGAAACGGGTGAAATGGTAAAGGAAGTGTGACATACAAAAGACATCTCGACATTTAAAAGGGCGAGAAAACATTTATACAAACAAACATTAGATTAATGCTGACAGTCGAATTTCTACAAAAAAGTGATTTCGTCTCGTATCTATCACAGTTAATCCGAGTATTACTTAACTCTATGCGTAAATATAGCACATAACACATAATACTGAGTTTTTAGCACAATTATCATTTAAGAAAGAGAGAGTGAAAGAGAGAGAGAGAGAGAGAGAGAGAGAGAAAGAGAGAGAGAGAGAGAGAGAGAGAGAGAGAGAGAGAGAGAGAGAGAGAGAAAAAATCTGCTGGAAGCTAGAAGGGCTTGAACTATTTAAATGTTAATGAGTTAAAGGTACTATGTCCCTTTTGCAGCCAACCTCAAATTCTGTAGAACTTTGCAGGAATTATGGTATATGTCATGTTATGTCCTATCTGTGAAATTTAAACGTTAGCAGTGTCCTCATATTCAAAGTATGCAAGGAAACCCGTTTACTTGCTAGACTTCACTGTCAGACACTATTGAGTGACTGACTGGCCTTGTTTCTTCTTTGGTAATAACATACATGAAAAGAGTTGTAAAGGGTACATGAGCGTTTGTCTACATCAATAACCAACTTCTTGTGATGGCCAAGATTAAACTGATTGAATCTTTGCCCAGCATAAAACGTATGACCATTTGGTACAATTCGTCCTTGTTTTCACGAAGTGACGGTAGTGAGGAAAATCGTAACGCAAAGTGAATGCAATTTTTTTTCACTACCGTCACTTCGTGAAAACAGCGACGAATTGTCTGAAAATCAAGACTATTACTTTTGGGCTCTATAGCCCTAAAGTCGATTTGACAACTAATAGTCATTATTTTCCCACTTGAAGACATTTTCAAGCCCCACCTTTTTTAGGGAAGTTTTAAATATGTATTATCTTTCAAATGCAGTTGGAATTTAACTTTTTCATTTTTTTGGCCTGCAAATGGGACATAGCACCTTTAACGCCCTTCTGGCTGCACACAATTTAACGTTAGTATCATTAACCACAATTTATTGCTTCGTATTCACATCATTTTATAAACGACATAGTGCATGACTTTGTGTTTATTGAATGTAAACAGAACAAAACATTCTTTGATTATATCAATGATGTTGTGAAGTACACTTGTAATATTGATTTTCCGCATGGATATCTCTTGTTTACTTAAGATTAATATTAACAGAGAGATAGACGTTCTAATAACGATCGCATTCTGGTGTATATACAAAATGTAAGTCTTCCGGAATAAGTATGGATTTAATGAAAACCGCTTCAAACTAAAATACGCATTTCAAAGAAGAAATAAAAAACAGAATAGTTGAAAACCAGGGGCTAAACAAACAGACAAAGGGTTGCCATAGAAACTGTTAAAAGCACTAAAAATGAAAATAGCAAATTATTGTACAGTTGAGAAAATATTTTGTATTGATAACATTGTACTTCAATCATATTTGTTCTCACAACTTTATTTTGATGCTTGTATGTTAATGAAAACATCATTTGAGGCACACAAACGTATAATAACAACAATGACACCATGCTTTGTGACAAGTTTAAACTAATGTTGACGATAAAGGTGATATATAAATGAAAATATAATTCTTTCTATACACTTGCACTTATACACGGAATATGACAAAATTATTATTTAGCTGATATGACAAGTCAGACAGTTTGTCCGGGTGCAAAATCATCATTCTGTAGTATAACAGGTTACTTTAATGCCCATATCAAGTTATAACGTACCATGAAAACTATTGACGATTTGATGAATAATGCAACTTCCCAGTCTCATTCGTAGAATTGACGCTCCTATTAGTGACGTCATGCTATAAATATCATGGAAACAAAACGAACTCAGATCAAAGTGCACTATTCTTATCAAATGTCGATTAATTAATACTCAATGACGTCATCATCAATGATGTAATTCAATATGAAACGCCCCCTCCCCCGCCCCCACCCACATCCAGCCTTCGGTCCCGGCGAATTTTGGATATGCCCCAAAATGATTCAGGCATTCTCCCGACATCCCTACGTCCTTTTTTCGACCGGGTGATACCCCTTCCCACCGTACACATCCCGTCTCTGCATCTGATCATTACAATCCCCCACATTGATCCATGTTCGACCCCCTCCCTCTTATTACCACTTTCTGGATACGCCCCTATTATAATGGTTCACTCCCTACATCCTTCTTTCGGCCTGAGGATACCCTCTCCCTCTCCCACCATACACATCGGCTGTTCTCTGCCGCATCTCCAGCGACGAGTAGTTCCTGTACGAGCAGAAGATTACCGTTAGCACCACGATGAGGAACACGCCGACGGTCCCTCCGACGATCGTCCCGACGACGGCGGCAGGACTGAGGTTCGATATCCCCGTTCCGCCGTCTCCCGACTCAGCAGCGCCCATCTGAGTCTCCGTGTCCCGGGCTGATCGATGAGGAGGGGTGCCGTCGGTGTGGTGGGTAGTCGTTGCCGAACCTTTCACTAGACTGCGAAGGAAATCTGAAGAAAGAAGAAAGATACACAATGTTAAAATATCACTTACCAGACCGATGCTTCGAAAATGGTCGCTTTGTTCATCTACGGCATCGTTTTTCAACCATTTTTCAGTCACGGCACCCTTTTTAGAAAAAAATGGTTCGCGTGACCCCAATTCCGAATTCATCACGTAATGTCAAGTGTACATTACTCTGAAACACGTCAAGTACGTCATGTTCTCACCTACATGCATTTTTGTTTCTAATTTTTTCGAGCGAGTCAAGCGAGCGAGCCCCCTAAATGACATTTGTAATGATATTAAAACATTATTTTGTAATCAACAAAATTGATTAGAAAAGATACTTTTAATAAAATGTATGTGGGCATCCAGCCGCCAAATATACATGAAGAAATGAAGAAAACAGGGAGAATTATGAGACAAATAAGATACTCAGAGCGTGATTTAATTTTGTTTTCATCTTACCCTTCATATCACGCCAATCCAAACTGATTTCTGCTTTAAGGGTGAACGGTTTCGCCTCGATCCTGTCATGTTTGGAAGTCGAAAATTTCTGTATTGAGAAAATGCAGAGAGAGGAAGACAAGCATGCGATTAATTACTGTTGAATGAATACAATATTTCGGTCACACCGCCATATCGACTTTAGACCGACCGATGACCGATAGGAAAGGGCATCCAGCAGGATTGTGGTTTGGGGTAAAGTATATTTTTATGTTCAGTCTATTTTCGTTCTTGTGTCGTTCTCGCTGATGTGACTTGGGTATACTTGTCATTAATAAATCCCTTATAGATTAAAACCAGTCCTTAATTCTTAATCACATTCTACTGAAATCTTTGTCTGCAAATGCTGAATAATATCCCTTTTGTAAATGTCTTTATTCAAAGTATCACTACAAAGAGTAACTTATTCGGAAGGCATACCCGCCTTAGGATGCAATATCAGTGATCTCAGCCAAGAGTAAGATAATTTATAATAATAATAATGAAAACGGTGCTTATAAAGCGCTTACCACCGAAGTCTCTAAGCGCTATACTTTTAGATGTTCAATATTATGGTAGACATCCTAATTTACCTATGAATATTTTTTCAGTAAATGGATACGCAATTTGCAAGAACTTTAAAATGATTATTACATACAGTTGGAAATTTAAGAAAAAACAAATGTACACTTCGAATTTTCATTAACAAGATTGTTAATATTACAGGGAGGTCACCTCCCTAATATTACTCACACATATCCGAATTATTTCATCGAATTTCGCCACATTTAGAAAAAAATATATCTTTAAAATATCAAAAATTCCCGACGTTCCAAATTGACGGAGAAAATTCCTTTAAGACCAAGAGAAAAGAACGAAACTAACTAATCTATGAACAGTTTTCAAATTCTAATCACAAGCTTTTTAGAAATCACGGCACAATGTATGAGCAGTCAAAAAAAGATCGCCTGGCCTTGTAGACTAATCAGTCACTGAAACGATTTAATATGAACACATCTTACAGATTGTTATTCGGAAGAGAGGGGCATTCTCGATGGGATGGAAACATTAATTCAACTAGCAAAAACAATGATCAAGAGACTCTAGGCGTAACGGAAAGGGGTGTAAATCCGTACCCCTTTGCTGGTCACTGGGGGTATGTTTTCCTCCCTTTTCACGGTTCGTTATGAACCCCTAATTGAGAGTTACAGATATCGCCAAAATTAATGTAGGGCGACAAAATGATATCTAAAACGATGGTACTGGGCATGTTGAGCGGTTCAAACGCCTCGTGTTTCTAAATGTTGATTGTCACGGATGGGCAACACTAAAATCTGCGTGCCGATTCGAATAAGGGCGGACAAAACAGAAAGCGGATGAAATGAAAATGTTCTTTTTAGTTTAGCAGCTTTATCTCAGCAGTGCTGACGAAGGCCTGGCGGAGCGGGGAGGGAAGCCTTACAAGGATGTGAAACCAAAATAGAGATCTTATCTCGATTTTTATTTTGCAAGATCCTAAAACGATGACAGATATTCAGGTCTCGCTGACTGATATCCAATTAATCACGAGTTAAGCGTCGATGCCGGGGGGTAATGGAATTATTGAACTTTATAATAACGTTTGTTTAGAGCTAGAAGGCGATTATTACCATTTTGTAAGAGGGGTTAATGCCCTTGTCGCTCTCAGCGAACGAGGGCTATGTATGCCACGGATGGTGTTAATTTGGTGTCAAGATAAGTTTTATAAGGTAACATAATTATAGGTTAATGCACCTGCTACCATATAATTAGCATTTTGCATATGATGGTGTAGATATGTAGGGTCAGTCGGTAATTGGACCCCCCCCCCACACTCATGCATGGAACGATGGAAAATAAAAGATGAGAGAGAGAGAGAGAGAGAGAGAGAGAGAGAGAGAGAGAGGGAAAGGGGGAGAAAGGGGGAGAGAGAGGGAGAGAGAGATAGAGAGAGAGAGAGAGAGATAGATGGAGGGGGTATAAAGAGGATGACCGGGCCTCGTCCAACACCCCCAACTTCTGGTCTCATGGACTTACAAAATTCACTGCCCCCCTCCCTTATATTAGTGCCCCACTCGATCGTATAAGTTATGCTTCTGCTCTTGTACGCATCTTAAAAGAAGGCCAGTGACGGTGTTGAAATAGAATAATTATGGTATATTTTGTCGCTTTTGCATAATATGCGCAAACTTGTTCAAAAAGTTTCTCAAGCTGTATCAAGTTGGCTCAACTATCGTATCATGACAGATGAATCAAGAAAATCTTTTTTGAATCGCAATTTTATTGGATACGACAGCTTAGGTTATTTCCTCTAATTCTTCAATTTCCGCTGTAAGGTTTAATAAATGACAGAATAAGAGAATGAGTGGACAGCTTTGGAAATTTCAACCGAATCGTTATTTGAGTTATTTATTTGGGTTTCCGTTAACAATGGTTAAAATGGTAGAGAAATAAACTGTATGGAATATCAAACTTCGGTAACCATGGTAACAAAGACTGATTTGGGAGATGGGTAATCTTTTTGATTGCAGCATAACTAAAACAGAAATGAAATGGTGACGATATATCTTATGGGCTTCTTAGAGTAATAATTATGATTGAAAACTGACTCTCAAACAACTTTCTCTTATAATTACAAGGGAGCTATAGGGAACATGGAGAAGAGAGGCACTTTTTTTTTTATAGTAAATTTAATCCTTGCACTATCAAAAAGTCTGCTCATTTAACAATTAATTTCGATATTTAATGACCAAAGATGAATTTTAAAGTTGAACAATCAGATTTGCTACAAAATCAACCGATGAAGCATTAATTGTTCAATTACCTGGATTAGATCCACACATTGTAGGACACCTTGCAATGTGAGAATTAATTTCACTTGTTAGCGAAATTCTGTTAACTAAATAAATAGTATACCATTATTACATTTAATTAATATAGCGGGCTATAGAAAGATATTGTACGAGGATCAATTCACTATTTTGAGTGCACTACATGTAGATACGAAAGGCAAGTTGCAAACATAATCCCAAACATCCAAAATAGCTGAATTCATCGGAAATCTATAAACAAATTACAATTGACCACTTCTTGAGTTTTTAGGTGAAAGAAATTAATTTTCTTTGCTTTCGCATCCATTGCTTGTTTTTGTGGTTTGACGCTCAGCTGAAAGGCAACACGCATGAATATCCGAAACATGATATTGTTTAACTAGTCAGTGTCCGCTTAGTTATGAGCATAATAATACCATTTTAGTCGTTTTTAACGTCCAAAATTATTATCCCATTGCGAACAATGTAACTTCTTGGTATTTATGTATAACCACTGAAACTATTATCCTGCCGCAACACCTGTATGTCTGCGACAGTTTCTTGTTTTGCGGAGAGAGTGAATTCAGAAAGACACAAAAGAGATGATAGTAAGAGTGAGAGAGAGAGGAGGAGAGAGAGTGAGAGAGAGAGAGAGAGAGAGAGAGAGAGTGAGATAGATAGAGAGAGAGAGAGAGAGAGAGAGAGAGAGAGAGAGAGAAAGAGGAGAGGAATTCAGAGATGCTCAGTACTTTGTTGAATATGTTGAAGTGGAAGAAGGAACTTTCTTATACAATAATAAGAAGACAAATCCCTGCCTTTAATTTTCCTAGTTCCTTTACAAGGGTGTGGCTTTCAAATCAATAGTATCTAATTTCAGTCCTATTTTAAACACTTTCCCTCCCACCCCCACCTCCTCTCACTTTCTTTGCACTTCCCCATCCGCATAGTTCACTTTCTGTCTCCCATCTCTATCTCCCTTCTCCTTTGATAATTATTTTTTTCTGCATCCATCTCAAATTCTGATAGCAATTTATGGCCTGGTTCAATCTTGTATATAATTTCTTGTTATTATGTAAATTACCTTGAATATATATTTTTGTATGTGTTTCAAATGAAAATCAATAAAATCCCTGTGGAGGGAAAAATATGGAAAAAAAAAAATAATTTCTTGATCGCGTAATTTCCTTCTCTTATTCTAGATCTTCGTTTGCTACAGACTAACTCTTTCTCCGTCCGATTCTATTTTTCTCTGCTCTAACCAATTTCTTCTGATTATTCTCTTCAAGTCTTTTCGTAATAATGGTAACACCCTCACTATAAAAACAAACGAAAGACACGTATGGTTCATTATATAAAGGAAACATAAAACGAAGCGCGCCTTAATACGAAATCAAAATATAAGATAAATGAATCAGCCATGAACCTACGTGGACTACATTATAGAACGACATTTTTTATTTGAATTTCCCTTGACAGATGTGTATAGTTTATCACTTTGGTTTGTTTCCCAATAAGAAATTGATCCCACAATCAAAGTTTTGCGTTTTTGTTTTTGTTTATGTGTATCTTTAACATCGGTGACCTACAATTCTAAACATTCTATCGTGGCAACTTCCTTAATAAAGTTACACATAATTTGATTGTGAAAATTTGATTTACACCTTCCAACATCAAATCCGCTTTATATCAGTGAAATATGATTTTGTTTGAAGAGTTGAAGTGAAAACAAATGATTTTTTAGTTTCGGTTGCTGAATCATGTATGAGCACGTGTATAATATGAATAAATTGGGCGTTGAATTTTCTGCGAATCCAAGTTATCATGAAGCAAGAAACAATCTAAGATAAACAGAGGAAACATGGGAATTGAAGTCTAAACAGTGGATTCAAGGTAGTCATGGACATATATGGAGGTAGAATTGTGGGGGGGGGGGGGGGGTGGAAAGGAAAATATAAAGTTGGTGAAATGTACGGTGCTGCATAATGTAATGACGATGATAATGCAATTGATAATGATGGCAACGATAATGATGACGATGATGACGGTGACGACAACTAAGCAGATGAGGATGATTATCATGTGAAGAGGGTCATATGAGTTGAAGATCCAACTAAATAAGCAATAGCATTTAAACCCACTTTTGTATGGCGGTCGGACGAAGCTATGCTGAAAACAGAGTTGGCACCTTAGACAATTTAAGAACACTTGATTTTATTTTGATAAACTTGATTTTTGTTGTTGT